AGAGCAGGGTAAGAATATCGAAAATAGAAGGGTTTGTTTTTATTGTTTAGACCCGAATCATTTGATTGCTGACTGTAAATTATGGAAGAAGAAAAACACAAAATCTAAAAGTGTAGCTAATGTGGTTCTTGAGACGGTGTATAACAGTCATGATCAAAGTTGTTCAGATGCTTCCGTTTTCTCTCCATTTTTGTTCAAAGGCACTGTATCAGTTAATCCTGATTCTGCAAAGAAAACCATTAACATCTTGCGAGACACAGGTGCTGCTCAATCTTTTATTCTTGAAAATGTGCTACCTTTTTCAAGTGAAACCTACTCTGGGACTGATGTGCTGGTTCGTGGCATAGAGCTGGGCTGTGTAAAAGTTCCTCTTCATACTGTGTGTTTGACATCTGATTTGGTTTCAGGTCCAGTTCAGTTGGGAGTGCGTGCAAAACTGCCAGTAGAAGGGGTCAGTTTAATTTTGGGGAATGACCTGGCCGGTGGTAAGGTTTTTACTCATCCAGTGGTGGCCGCACGTCCTGTTTGTGAGGTAGAACTTGGTACTAAATTTCCTTCAATATTCTCTGCGTGCGCAGTTACTCGTGCACAGGCGCGAAACAGTGGTAGTGATATTGATTTATCTGACACATTTATGTCTTTTCCAGACAATCCAACGGAGTTTAAATTATCTGTTCAACCCAGTGTGTTTAAAACGGATGATGTTACTGGTCACGAGGCTTTGTCTATGGGAAGAGAACAACTTGGTAAAGCTCAAAGGTCGGATCCTTCTCTTGTGCGATGTGTTGAAGCTGCCGAGGGCAAAGTAGAGAGTGACACAGATGACGGTGTGCAATACTTCTGGGACAGAGGCGTACTAATGCGTAAGTGGCTGTCACAAAAAGCTAAAGAAGTGGGTTTTAGTCCAGATTACCAAATAGTGTTACCTTCTGAGTATCGAACAGCAGTTCTTAAACTTGCTCATGATCACATTCTATCTGGTCATTTGGGCATTAATAAAACGTTTACACGAGTGGCTAAGTATTTTTATTGGCCTGGTTTACGCTCTGCTGTGTCAGATTTTTGTCGTGCGTGTCACGTTTGTCAGATCGCTGGGAAACCCAATCAGAACATTCCTCCAGCTCCTTTGCAACCTATTCCAGTGATGGGAGAGCCTTTTGAGCGCCTCATTTTAGACTGCGTCGGCCCTTTACCAAAATCAAAAAGTGGTTATCAGTATATTTTGACGTTAATGTGCGCTGCAACGCGCTACCCCGAGGCAATACCGTTACGAAATCTTAAAGCAAAAACTATCGTTAAAGAGCTGATAAAGTTTTGCTCCACTTTTGGTTTACCTCGCGTTATTCAGACAGACCAGGGAACAAATTTTAAATCTAAATTGTTCGAACAAGTATTGCAAGGAATTTCAGTAAGTCATGTAGTGTCAAGTGCATACCACTCACAGTCGCAGGGCGCTCTCGAGCGATTTCATCAAACGCTCAAATCAATGATGCGTGCTCATTGTGTTGAGTCCAACTCAGACTGGGCTGAAGATCTTCCTTTAATGATGTTTGCTATCAGAGAGACCGTTCAAGAATCATTGGGTTATAGCCCTGCTGAGCTTGTTTTTGCTCATGGTTTACGCGGACCCTTAAAATTATTAAGCGAACAATTAGTTGCTGACAATAAACAAATGGTACCTGTATCTGAATATGTGAATTCAATTAGGGAACGTCTTCGTAATGCTTGTGAAAAAGCAAGGACTAATTTAGCGGAGGCTCAGGCTGAAATGAAAATGCGTTATGATCGCAAAAGTGTGTCTCGTTCATTCCAGCCGGGTGATTCAGTTTTGGTGTTGCTGGCTACGCCAGGCTCGGCTTTACAGTCAAAGTTTTCAGGTCCATACATGGTGACCAAGAAGTTGTCTGACACTAACTATTTAGTTTGCACTCCTGACCGGCGAAAAAAATCTCGTATGGTCCATGTCAATATGCTTAAGGCTTATGTGAAAAGTGATGCTCATCTACCTGCTGTCAAACCAAGTTTAGTTGCGTCCTCTGTAGCTGATGAGATTGAACAGGATTTCTCTGTACCCTGCGGTCGTTTGACAAATTCTGTTATATTAAATGACTTGGATTCGCATTTAAGTTATTTATCTTCAGATCAAAAAAGCGATATTGTTGAGTTACTTGAAAATCATCGCTCTCTCTTTAGTGACATTCCTTCCCAAACCACTGTGCTTACACATGATATAGATGTTGGTGAATCACGACCGATAAAACAACATCCTTATCGTCTTAATCCGAAAAAACGTGACTTGATGAAAGCTGAGGTTGAGTATTTGCGGCAAAATCATTTTGCAAGTCCCAGTTTGAGTGCATGGAGTTCACCTTGTCTATTTGTCCCCAAGTCTGACTTGTCGGTTCGTTTCTGCACTGACTATCGGAAAGTCAATGCAGTTACGAAGCCCGATTCATTCCCATTGCCACGTATGGAAGATTGCATAGATCGAGTCGGTCCTGCCAGGTTTGTGACAAAATTAGATCTTCTTAAAGGGTATTGGCAAATTCCACTTACGTCACGAGCCTCGGAAATTTCAGCTTTTGTGACCCCTGACGATTTTATGCAGTACTCCGTAATGGCTTTCGGGATGCGCAACGCACCGTCAACCTTTCAGCGATTAATGCGCATCGTATTAAGTGGTGTTGAAAAATGCGAAGCTTATCTCGACGATATTGTGATCTATTCTTCTAGCTGGGAGGAGCATATGGTTTCTTTACGTGAAGTGTTTGCACGTCTGGTTAATGCCTCTCTAACTTTAAATCTAGCTAAATGTGAATTCGCCAAGGCCACCGTAGTGTACCTAGGAAAAAAAGGTAGGTCAGGGACATGTGTGTCCAGTTGATGCAAAAATTGCGTCTATTGTGGAATTCCCAGTGGCAGGGAATAAAAGAGAGTTGCGTAGATTTTTGGGTATGTCAGGATACTACAGAGGATTCTGCCGTAACTTTGCTAGTGTTGTGTCTCTACTAACTGATCTTCTGAGCACCGAAAGAGTTTTTGTGTGGTCTGATGCATGTGATCAGGCTTTTCGAGCAGCAAAAGATTTGCTGTGTAACGCTCCCATTCTTTCAGCACCGGACTTTGAGCGTCCCTTTAAATTGGAAGTGGATGCTTCTGCTACTGGGGCTGGAGCTGTTCTAATTCAGGAAAGTGAGATGGGTATTGATCATCCAGTGTGCTATTTCTCAAAAAAAATTACAGCATGTCAACGCAGATATAGTACGATCGAGAAGGAGGCTTTAGCACTACTTTTAGCGTTGCAACATTTTGAGATTTATTTGGGTGGAAGTTCGTTCCCAATTCGTGTGTACACTGATCATAATCCTCTTGTTTTTTTGGATAGGATGCGCAATTCAAATCAGCGATTAATGCGATGGTCTTTGGAAGTCCAGGAATTTAATTTGGATATACGGCATAAGAAAGGTTCGCAAAATGTGGTTGCGGATGCGCTGTCCAGAGTTCATGGTGCTGAAGTTGAGGTTTAAGTCAGTTGGGTGGATACAAACTGCTTGTTTGCATCTTTTTGGTGGGGAGGTGTTACGAGTAGTGTAGTGTAGGCTTGTGTGTGGTTTTTCTCTTGCGCTCTCGCGTTCTTTCTTTCTCTTTCTCTCGCTCTCTCTCTCTTTCTCACTCTAAGTATTCGCAGGTGCAGCGGATTACGTTGGGACGGACCATGATTGGCGGCGGCTATAAAAACCTGAAGAGAACATGGGTTCGATGGCTCCCCGCTCTCTCTCGATCTTCCCCGCTTGTACTCAGTGGAGAACGTGATTCCATGAGTGTTTGCATGTATATTGAGATGCCGTTGTGTTAAATTTTTAACCGGCGATTGAAACCCGGTTTGTCTCCCTGTCGGGCTTGGAGCATGTAGGGAGGTTTGGTGCCTTATTTGTTATTTTCGTTTTCTCCTGTGTTTGTTAGTAGGGAGGTAAGTTTTCTGTATTTTATTTTATTTGTTTTCTAGGGAAGTTTAATCTAATTTAGTTAGCTTGGTTTATTGTCATTTATTTTGGCTGAACCCCTCCTGATGTTATTTTTGCTCCTTATTTCTGTAAATAAATCATATTTTCTTGTTAATTCTTAGTGGTTGTGTTTTTGGTATATTTTGGGGAGAGAGAGCGCGGGGGCACCAGGGATTATATTTTTAATCCCTGTTATTTTGTTACGTTTTTGGTTACATCTCTTTTTGATTAAGGATTTTTAATTTAATTCGTAACAGTGTAGAGAAAATTAATCACTTGTTTTTCAATGGAAGTTACACAACAGTGGACCAATCAGAAAACTCAAAGGCGGTCCAAGTGAAGCTCATAAGCTTCTGTCTACCAAGTCGGCAAAATAGCAGAACAATATATATATATCTCGTATTTCAGACACAAAGACGCTTTCTTTGTGAAAGCCTGCTGAGTTGTTGCACTGCTGTGGTCTTTTCTACCTAAAATCAGTGACTAGACTGGGGGAACAAATCAAACTGTCAGCCCTGTACTTTGATGATTCAGAACAAATATATACACACACATATCCATATACAGACAATTACTGGTGCATTAAAATCTAGTCTTTGATGTTACCTTGGACCAGGAAAAACACAAGTGTTATTTAACAGGACAATATTTGGTTAAGATACAACTATTTAAAAATCTAAAAATAAAAAAAAAAATTAAAAAAATATATTTAGAAAATCGCCTTTAAAATTGTGTTAGTGAAGTGCTTAGCAATGCACATTATTGGTTAAAATTGAGTTTTTTTAATATACATTTACAGTTGTAAAACCTACAAAATATTTTCACTTAACATGATATTTAATTAACATTATAAAGATTTGTGGCATAACAGAAAATCTATAATTTGTAATATTTTAATAATAATTTTTTTGGCTATAATGACCAAAAATTTACCTGCGCAACATAAAACTGGGTTTGTAGTGTAGGGTCATAAATGACAGTCAATGACATCGTCACCTGTGCAGTAGACCGTTTTGGCCACCATTGCCATGACAATACTGGTGAGTCCTGTTCCTGCTCCGAGCTCCAGGACAGTGGCGCCTTTGAACATGCTTGACTGAGCCAGGATGAAATCAGCCAACAGGAAAGCACCACGCCAGATCTGAAACGAAAAATGACAACTTTGATCAAAACATCAGTGCAAACACACTGCACAATTACCCCTGTGCTGCTGTTCTCACCTGCTTTCCTACATCTTCCAGTGGAGTCGCCATAGTGTGCTCTGTTTAAAACACATTTAAAGATGTTTAAATATAAAATATTGAAAAAAAATTTTTATTAATTCACATATGCTTCTTTTTAACCTTTTAACATTATAAAATATTGTTTGTGTCTTTAAAAAAATCCAGTTGAGATCACCAAAAAAAGCATTTATTTGATTTTAAAGGATTGGTCCAGACCCATAGTGTATTTTTAAGACTTCATTGTGTTTATAAGATGCAAAGCAATGTGTGCTCATGCTTCACTTGTAGAAAGTCATGTTATTTTATCATATATCTTACTTGGATTATATACAGCTACTCAGCTAACTTGAAAACAATTCCCTAGTTCCTCTGAAAGCCTGCCTTCAAGAGGCTCTGATTGGTCAGCTAACATAATGTGCTGTGATTTGCGGATTGGCTCCACATCATGCTTCTACAAGCATGCACTTTTGCACTTTGTAAACAGTCCAGTCAGAGCAGCTGTTATCAGCATTAGCTGCTTGAATCAGACAAAAAAAAATGAAGAGCACACAGCTGAGCCTCATGCCTGCTCTCTAAAATAAAATCTGACAAGTGTCTTTTACATATATTCAAAGTAAGCATGTGTAAGTAATATAAAAAAATTCTCATATCTTTTGTGAGTTTGTTATTTGAGATGTAGAACGCAGAAAAAATGGCCGCATAGAGAGACACTGCTACGCGCTGCAGAAGATTATGAGTGTTTGCAGCAGTTTGACTGATAAATATGAATTTGTAGCTTAATTGTAAGCGGTGCCAAACAGCATTACCTATTGTTTACGACCTCACTACAGCATACCATTAACGTTAGGAACTGTGCATGTAATAGATCAATTTTAACAATTACTTACAGGTTGTGACCCACATTCCACAGCTTCGTAGGTTTGAGGACTTTTAGCCGAACCCAACACTGAACTAAGAAAGATTCTGGAAGTTCTCCTTTGTCAAATGCTAGCTGTATATTTTTTATAATTCTCTGGAACATTATTTAAATTAAACTATAAGCACTTCTCTCTTTGTGTAGTGTCATTTGGAAGCCCAAATACAGAAACAAAAGAAGCTCTGTGGAAATATCAGCATTTGGATGGCATTTTAGCTTTCTCTGCTATTACATTACAGCACCTCTGAATGCACGTAACCGAAAGCCGTTGTGATCTCACTGGCCCGGATGTATTTTTTTTTATACCCAAATTCGTTCGCTGTAGGCTTTGCTAAGCTAACTCTGTAAAACCCAATGTTTAAGCATTGAACTTTGATTTGAACATATTACATTCAGAGATGTTGTTATGTCCAAACAGCTACATTACACTGAATGTAATATAAAATGATTCCTGTGATTTAAAGATGATTATTCAGCATGAAAAAGGCTCCTCACACGATTCTTTAGAAATCAATATGCTCATCTGCTGCTTTTTACTGTTTATACACTGATTGAATCCATTTAAATCATTGACATAACCTCCTCCAACCTTCTTCTCTGCCCTTTTTATTATTATTAAAAACTTATGCTAGTAATCATTATTGTGTTCATTAATTTATTAAGTTGTCTTGTTATAAAAGTTTAAAAGAAAAAAGTCGAAAGTTTTTTCTGTGTCTGTCATATAAGGCATTTATGTTTTTATTTCAATGAATAAAGAAAAAAACACTTTTATTTATCAAGTACATGTTAAATAATTAGTTAAAGACATTTATAATGTAAAAATAACATAATAATAAAAAAAATAAACAAATAAATGCCATCCTATTTTTACAATAAAAAAGTAAAAGTTAAAGAATTAATTATTGTACTTAATGTTAATGAGCACCAATAACAATTTATTAAGATAGAACAACAACACATCAGCTTAAAATAATGACTACTGAATAATGATCATAGAAAAATCACAAAATTCTGAAAACTTTTTTTTAAAAACATAAGACAAATTAAATCTCACCGATCCCAAACTTGAGTTGATCTGTAAAGTGACTCTCACCAATGATAATGATGTCACGGGCACTCTCCTCTTCCTCGTCAGAATCTTCATCCTGATCACTCGATGTGGCTGCAGATTGACTAAGTATAATGGGACAAACTGCATCTCTGTCAGAGGTGGTGTCTCTGGGCCTTCTCACCACATCCAGATCCCCATCTTCATCCCGAGGAACATCTGATGCATCTGAGCTCTCTCGGACAGGCAAATCATCACTCGAGTCCTTCCCATCGATATCTCGCAGAATCCTGAACTTTGAAGTAAAGACTGAACATACAGAAGCAAATCCATGTCAGACAATGTATAAAAGCGTGAAAGTAGAGGTATATTTAAGAGTGGCTTTTTTGCACTGAAATGATTTGTGGATGCAATATTTTATATTTTTATTGTAATATTTTAAAACGCTTCATTTTCAGAATTATTAGCCCCCCTTTGAATTTTTTTTCTTTTTAAAATATTTCTCAAATTATTTCTAACAGAGCAAGGACATTTTCACAATATGTCTGATAATATTTTTTCTTCTAGAGAAAGTCTTATTTGTTTTATTTAGGTTATAATAAAAGCAGTTTTTAATTTTTTAAAAGCCATTTTAAGGACAAAATTATTAGCCCCTGAGCTATATTTTTTTCGATAGTCTACAGAACAAACCATGGTTATACAATAACCCGCTTATGATTTAGATTTGATGATATGTATGATAAAGATGATGATCTACATTAGTTTTATAGAAGTCTTTATTTTAATATAATAATAGTATAATAATACCATTTTTATTTACTTTTATAATGACAAAAAGCATTTTACTTCAGCCTTTAGTGTCACATCATCCTTCAGAAACTATTCTAATATGGTGATCATGTCTCAACACAATTTAAAAATTAATAACGGCCATTATTTATGAAAAATACAGTGATTGACCAAAAAGAAAAAAATTTAGACATCGCAGTCTAAATTTGTCATGACAACACAGCTGATAAAATGTATGCAATATAAACATTTCTTAAATAAAAACTGAATATTATTTTCCGCATTCAACTAATATTTGTGTTGATGGCAGTGGAGATAAAAAAAACAACAAATCAAATGATATACTACATTCAAAAGTGCCATAATGTTTCCAATAACTGGGAAAACACTGTTTCACCCTGGGAAATAAAAGTAGTCTAAAAACACTAAAACTTAGGTCTAAAGGACAGACTAATAGAAAAATGCATAGATCAGCCTTCCTATAATTTAAATTAATAAACCACTAATATTAATATAACGTTTAGTCTGATATACATTCTATTATGAGCAAGTTCTAAATGGAGATGCCTGTCTAACAGAGTGAGAACATTTTACTGAAGAACATAACAGAATTTTACAGTGTCAGCTCGCCCCAGTCTAATGTTGTAAAAGGTCACCTCATCTACAACATTCAAAATCTGCCTCTTTTGTTTTTCTAAGAATAGCGATCAGTCGTGTACGCTTTAATTTCTCATTCATTTGAGCCGAGCTGCTCTGGTGAGGATAATGAATCAAAGCCTATGCAACTGCACTCGTCGGGGGTTTAAAGGCCAGAACAGGCAACCTACAATCATGTACAGTATTCAAAACTTCGAGAGGGGGAAAAACAAACACACACACACACACATACATACAAAAAGCTGGCTGTGATAAATGTTGTGATGCTGAGCATTATTGACTCAAAATTTAATGAAAAAAATATTTTGCCATAACACCGGTACAACCTGCTGTGTTTATTGTTCAATTTGACCACATAAGAAAGCCTTTTATGGTTAAGTCTATGGTTGTGTATCGTGATTATAAACAAACCTGACAAGACTGCCTGCTGGTAATTTACATTCACAGGCTAATCGTTTTTAAAGGTCAAACTTGTGTATGCAGGGAATGGGTTACAGTCAACGCGCAAGTACCTAAAGCACACATGCAAACCAAACAGACAGGGATCAAGGCTGCTAACATGCAAGGTTAAAAGCAGTTATGACAAACTCTAGCACATAATACTGAGCACTGCCGTGTCATATAGTTATAGGCCAACAGCCACAGTCAAGTGAGGTAAGAACATAGAATAAATAACTTTCAGAATAGCATATAGCAAACACCTACAGTACATATGCAGCTTATGAATACTGCGCAAATGCAGTATTCATTAGTTACCAAATAGTCCACCACATCTGCCGACAGATGTATAATATTGTATTCATTGTATTCAATACATTTATATATATAGTTTACTTATTGTAAAATGTGTCTAATTAATAAGCATTCATTTTTTGAGGTGAAATGGTCCAAAAATATAGACAAATTGATTATACCTATTTGTTTTTTCAAATGAAGTACTCTTTTCAACATAGTTGTTTACATTTTTAAAGATAATTTTTTATAACTCATTTCTAATTCAATTTTTTTGTCTTTGCCATAATGACATTACATAATATTTTACAAGATACTATTATTAAGTTTAATGTGCAATGTAAAAAGTTAACTAGGTTAATTTAGTTAATTACGCAAGTTAGTTTAGTAAGGCAAGTCATTGAAATTCTTTTCTGGATTCAAATAAAAAATAAACAAATCTGTGACAAAAAAAAAGTGGCTAATAATATTGATATTGCGATTTTTGGATTTTTTATTTGTTTTATTTCAGCCAAACTAAATGGAATTAGGCTTTCTATAAAAATATAATAGGAAATACCGTGAAAAATGCTCTCATAAACATTGTTTGAGAAATATAAAAATTATAATTATTAATTAAAAAATTACTAAGAAAAAAAATACTAAAACCTAAATTACTAACTAAATCATGACCAGAAGTTAATAATAATAATAAGTGTAAAACAGCAAAAAGAGTATTGTTGACTTTTAGTGTAATTCTCACTTTAGAGGCCATTTCATGTCCAGTCCTCTTTAAAAATTATCCATCACTAATTACTGTTTATATGCACAATATAATAGTAGTTATTAAAACTAATGATTTTAGAATTGAAAAAAAAAAAATTAAACAGAATATCTATTTGTACACTGCACGTTATGAAAATTATATTTATTGTAGTACATAAAATACCTAAATGACCTAAATGTTTTAAATTTATCTATTATCTGAGTCTTCATTACCCTTAATATACATAATATTAACCTTTCTTAACCTTAATATACTAAAAACATTAATTATGTCATTAGGTCTTAATAAATTACAAATTGGGTCTTTATGGGTAGAATACATTTTTGTTGGGCTTGGCTTTCTGCAGGTTTTACCAAGTTAGATTTAAGACTTTAAGCCCTATTTCGACCATAAGGAATGACATTTTAGAATTATAAAGGGCTAAATGCTACAAAATTATTTGAGGGCCATGCAGAAAAAAACATACTTGCTCCATCAAAAAAAATTACTAATTCTAATTAATTATTTCTTAGGCAAATATTTTTAATAATGTTTCAAAACAAACAGATTCTAGCTGTTAACATAAAAATTTTTTTCCAACATAAATTAAAAAAAAACCTAAATGTATGCATTATATTATAACAGTCTGCTATAGAATTAGTTATGAATATAGTTTTGCTAAACGTTTTATTGAGATGTTGGAGATTTGATGCGTGTTGGAGCGATTGGGTAGCTTAGCTTTACACAAATAAAAGAAAATTAAGGCCCGTTTAAAAGGATTGAAGACTTACAAGACAATATTTCAGTGAATTTAAAACTTTCTAAGGCCTACAATTTTGTTTTTTTTAAATGTAAGAATTTAACCCCACGGACACCCTGTGGGCAGACTTTATCTTATCTCCATGGTTACTATAATGGTAGACTTAAAGTGAAGTTGACTTCAACTGACTGACACTTTTCTTTGCAATGTAGCTGCTTATGTCCATGTCTCACCTGAGTCTTGCACAGTATGCCTCACTGGTAAATTTCAACAAAGCATTACTTTATTTTGGAGGTGATTCAATTATTGGTGGGGATATTTTAAAAATCTGTGGATATTGGTGGGGACACGCCTCCTCTATCCATGCTAATTCTACACCCTTTGCTTGAACAAACTTGTGCAACATCATAAGGTTTATTGCATTTTCCAGATTTTCTACAGATATAAAAAGTAACTTGGCTGTCTGACTCTGAGGCAAAATTTCCTCCAGTGCATTTCAAATACATCCAATGGGTTTCAGGTCAAGTGGTGGCCAATTCATTTGTGAATATGCTTATTCTTTCACAATTTAAATCTTTGCATTGTCATCCAAGAAAATGGCGCATTTAGACATGGTTGTTTAAGAAACAGAAATCTACATGCAGCATCTATATAAAAGAATGGTTGGGAAACATACAAGTTCACAAAAAAAAAACAACAACACTCAAGTGGAATTAAACCAGGGCCAGAGTGGGATTCTTTTTTAGCCCTGGAGTTTCAAGCCTTAGACCGGCCCACCTCAGTTCACAAATAACTATATTAAAATAACGTAATTTCCAATTCAGTTTCTAATGACACTATCACATCTTTTTCAAGGAAACAGCTGTTTTAGAACTTCACATTTTTTTCATAAATATGAGAACATTAAAGGGTAGCTAAATCTCCAACACTATTCTTTAAAACATCACAATGTCCTTTCCTGCAATTTCTGAATATATATTCTGTGCAAAATTCTTTATAGATATCCAGTCCTTTGTAACGGTGGTCACACAAAAAAATAAAAATAAAATATGTACACCTATATAAGTAACAAAAACAGTATTATATGACTTAACACTAAAAATGAAAAAATAAAATAAAAAATTACCCAGGTGAGGTTCGAACTCAGGTCAGTGACGCCGTAACGCAACATGCTGACCACTGGACCACAAGATGCTGTTACACTGCTGCATTTGGAATAAAAAATTAATATTGCACTGCCATCTGATCTGAATCTTTTTCTCTACTTTTTAGATTTCAGATCAAGTTATGTCAGATTTATTAATGCAGTGAATCATCTGATTTATATCAAACAGGTGTAATATTCATTAATATTAATTATTCGAATTCTTATATTCACTAAGGTGCCGCTATTTGGGGTCGAGTGATAGTTACGTCATCGTTAACCTGCAGGCTGCACTTAACTCACGGGGCTGCGAGAAAATATATAAAAAGAGTGGAGCTGCGGCAAAATAATGATTAAAAGGAGTGAGGCTATGGTCAAATAAATAAATAAATAAACCCCAGCCAAAAAATGGACCGGCCCACCGGGAATTCCATTGGATTCATTAGCCAATACAGGCCTGAATTAAACATTCATGAATGAACACAAGACAAAATATTCTGAAGAATGATGAAAACCAGCAACCATTGACATTAACAGTAGGAACAAAATATAGTTTGGAAGACATCAGTAGCTGATGCTTTACAAAATTCTTCAATATATCTTAGTAAGGGTTAAACAGAATAATGTCTGAAACAAATGGAGGAAGAGTAAATGACAGAATTTTTTATTTTTGGGTGAACTATCATTTTAATTACAGCAACAAAGGCTAAGTACTTGCTCAAACTGTGACTTTCTGGTGCAAGTTGGGGGTCGTTTGGTTGAGTAGTATGATCATATTTAGGGGTCAATAACATAAAAAAATATATATATATAAAAAAAAACATGCCGTAAACACTAACTATTAATTCTGCATATAACCAATAAGATGCTTATGTGTCTTAGGCTTTTCTTACCAGGCTGTCCCACACCGTTGAGTCTCTTCATGAGATGGCGAGTGTTTGGTAGCAGCAGATGGACATCAGACAGAACGGTGTCACTTCTAAATGTGACCTGGTCCATGATCGTCCCTGCATGGTACTCTATCAAGGATGCTGTTCTGAAAAACAAGACAATTTTATTCAAAGTGCTTAAAAAAACAATAATTCCTATGTGCAATGATAGTTTTTAAATTATCTGTCATTCTACACAAATACAAAACTATTTTATAGACTATTTTAAGACAGAACTACGATACAGGCAAGAACAAAATAGTCTGGACAATGATTAACAGTTTTGTTTGGGCTTGAATGAAAGCTTTAGGATTCTTGACCGAGTAACGTAGAAATATTAAAGTGGGCGTGACCATACAAACTCAGAAAGCCACTTTCTCGTCGTTTATTATTAACCTTCAGAGTTAATCGAGAAGATAAACAGAAATACTACTTAATTTGTTGTTAAGAAAGTAATTCATTCCGTATAAGACGTTAAATGAACTCACTAGATCCTGACATGTAAGTTTACAGTTTCTTCATAGCGTCACCTTGCAGTTTTCTGATCAGCTCAGGGGGCAAAGAGCAGCAGATATCTACAAAGAACATATTGTTAATGAGGATGAGTAGACGTACTTTTGATATTGTTGTCGAGTGCATTAAATTGTACTAAAATATGAGCGTAGCGATATTCGGAGCTACCTTATATAAAGGTTATACTGCAGCTTGTGAGAGGTTAGACTAGCAGTGTTACATTAAGAGCAGACCGTGTAGGAACCGTCACTATGAAAATAGTTCCGAAACAGAACGCGCTTGACTCTGATGTGAAAATATGGTAATTTTGTTTATATTATTATTTTTTATTTTTATTTAATAAATATTTGTTTGTTATTCAGTAATACTTATTTTTGTTCAAAATGATAATACAGAACTCTGTAGATGAATCAGCTTTAACGAACGATTTGACGACCCCGTACCCAACAAACACATTTACGTTGTAGCGATGTCCGCACAACGTTGTATTTTTTTAAAGGCAACGTTGCCGCTTACGTGCTCGCTACATTGTCACAACGTAGAAATGTAAGACGTGAGAAGGCTGTAGCAACGTTGTCGTGCGACATTCAGCAACCGCGAGGCGGCGTTCTTACTACTTGTATTAATATTTTTTGGGCCTAGAATACAGGATAAGCAGCAATTCTTTTCCAGTATTGCTTAATATGAAATATTGTTCATTTATTTTTCCTATTTAATTTAACAACTGCATGTGTAAACTTTAAAGTGTAAAAATGCCACACAAATTAATAATCAAACTTTTTATTATATATTTCACAACATTTAATACATACAGTACACATACAGTATCTAATTATAAGCAAACAGTATAAAATAAAGTTTAGATTATATATATATATATATATATATATATATATATATATATATATATATATATAAAATCTAAACTTTATATATATATATATATATATATATATATATATATATATATATATATATATATATATATATATACTACATACATACATACATTAAACTAAAGGGTAAACAAACAAGAAAAGTAAACAAGAAGTCATTAAAATGTAAATAAATATATAAATATATAAATAAATATATAAATTAAAATTCAAACACTGGGCAGTGAAACTCTGGACTGGAGAATACAGCAGACCGGGGAGCGCAGCTGAAGACCAGTTGTAGTTGTTGGTATGGAGAAAGCAGTCAGAGGAAGAAACAAATTCAACGGATAATCCAGCTTCAGAGATCCACACCCAGACAGCACACATACGTTGGGCCGACGTCGTGCCGATTTTCAAAATTCCATCGGCGCGATGTCGCTCAGGGAGCGTTTGCTAATTGGCAAAATGTCGCCGCGACGTCGGCAAATGATCGGAAACGCTGTCCGGCCGATGTTAGGACGACGCAACCGGAAATACCGGCCGCTCCGCGGAGGCGCTGTTCTCAGGCGTTTTGCTCATACTTATGGACCACTAGCTGCAGCAGCTGCTTATTTATAATAAACACGACACACCACTCTCAATAACAGTTGAAGATTTATTAATATTTTCACAAACATACAGACAGATTAACATACTTTTATCACACATAACCATGTTTTACCACGTTTAAAACAAAACCAACAAGTTGTACTATAACCATGGCTGAACTACTGTGCAATAAAGATTTTAAATACAAAGTCCATTGCAGCATTTACATTAAGACCATAGGAATATTTACAAGTACTTCAAAACATGTACACTAAGGGAGACTATAGTTTACTATAGTAAAAACACAAATAACTTGTGTAAGCACATGTTATAATGCTTATAATTTCTTAAATAGTGTTAAAGAAAATGCATGTTTCCAAGACTATAATTTTAATACCAGTCATGATAATACCAGTCATGTGTTCAGTATCCAAAAGACTTTCTTCAAGGAGTTACAATAATAAAAGAGTACACAAACACAAAATAAATACCAAGCAAACAATATTTACAGTAGTAAATAAAATCATACAAATTAAAATAATTGTCTGATAAAATCTTATTAAAGACTGTAGTCAATTTATTTTTTACAATTTTTTTATAAATGGCATTCAACAATTTGCAATCTCCTCTGAACTAATAACACATCAATAATATAAAATAACAATACTTTCTCAGAGATAATCAGTTTTTTTAAGCAAACTCTAATGCACGACACAAAACAGTTTTTGTCATATATATATATATATATATATATATATATATATATATATATATATATATATATAATCCCTTAATTTCTGTTTATAGGATATATTTTTTACCACATTTCTAATCACAATAGTTTTAATAACTAATAACTAATTTCTAATAACTGAGTAAATAATATTTGACTAGATATTTTCAAGACACTTCTATACAGCTTAAAGTGACATTTAAAGGCTTAACTAGGTTAATTAGCTTAACTAGGCAGGTTAGGGTAAGTAGGCAAGTTATTGTATATCGATGGTTTGTTCTGTAGACAGTAGAAAAAAATTGCTTAAAGGGGCTAATAATAATTACCTTAAAATGTTTTTTAAAAAAATTCAAAACTGTTTTTTTTTTCTAGCCGAAATAAAAGAAATAAGACTTTCTCCAGAAGAAAACATAACATTTTCTTGCTCTGACATATATATATATATATATATATATATATATATATATATATATATATATATATATATATATATATATATATATATATATATATATATATATATATAAATAAAACTGGTTGTAAATTGTGTACAATGTTCCAAGAAAACAGACAAAATTAAAAGAAATAACCTGTCATTTAGTTTTGTTTTATCTTGTGGAATGTTGCTTACACATAAAAGGTGATATATAGGTGGAATAAAAAGTGTGTCGCCATCCTCTAAATTGTTCATGTATGTTGTCTTCATCTTTAGTCTTCACAAGTGAGGCTGGCCCAAACCGGGACTGCAGTAGCCAAATCTAATCCTTGTAGTGGGAACCCTTAAATAAAGCAAGAAACCAAAAGGAGAAAGATTAGCATTGCAGCAGTTCATATTACCACAAATATATACTATTTGTTTCATGACAGACATATAACTGGAGTATGTGTTATGCAAGTGCCTAGCTAAAGTGTGTAATTTAATTTAAACTTAAAGAGTGTGTCTGAGCACTAATTTTCAGAAAAGCCATTTGAAAGTTAAATTCCTTGTGAAATTATAATGAATGTTTTTTTTTTTTTTTTTGGTTTTTAGTATCATTGTGTTAGTATAAATGTGTATCTAAATATATGTCTAATCTTCAGATACCACATTACATGCAAATTAAACTAAGTTTTGTCAACTAAAATGTCACACTGTACACCACATTTAATATATCATGACTAGGGCCAGGAGGAATCTGCAGATGTTTTTTGCTATTTCTGCTGAAAATTTTGGTGGAAGTCTGCGGAATTATTTTGGGAGTATCATAACTAAAACCTTAATATATAAAATAAAAAAATAATATATTTTTAAGTTTTATTTAATGTTTAAAATGCAAATCCAATTAGATTCACGTTATTTGGTAAATAAAGCAAGTTTTTCATATAACATATCTAGTAAGACAGAAAATATTACTGTACAAACCTCATTGTACATAAATCAGATGAACATTTTCACATTAGTCAATAATATTACTGAAATTAATTTAAAAACTGAATAAATATAGATTTACACACGTTTACTCAAGTAAATAAACAGAATTAATGATGGGCTAAACATCTGCGGAGTTCTGCGAAAAATCCGGGTGGGTCTAATCATAGCTTTATTTCTGCTACAAAAAGGTTTTTCAGCAAACAACTTCTATTATATGTAGGCTATAGAGGAGGATATATAAAGAAATTATATATTCAACTCTCTAATTAAATGCACCTGATGCAGCTAATCAAGTCTTTTAGGCTTATTTGAAAACTTAAATGACGTGTTGGACCACAGTTGGACAACGCTCAGTGAGAATACTTTTTTGCACAAATTCTTTCTGTTCTAAAGAAACATGTCTGATTGTTAGCAATCATCAAAGAGCAAACTTTTTTTTTCCAAATAAATACTATGCTCTTAAAAATAAACTTTTCATACATCAAGAATATTAAAAATATGTTTATTTAAAATGTTTTATATTTAAAAAAAACAGCTTGAGGAGAGAATCAGTACATTGGAATACTATTTTTTCATCATGTGACACTATTAATTATATACATTGTATTAAATTTACAGTATTACTGCTTGACTATATTAATTAAATAAAGCTGACACTATTAGAAGAGAATTTACCATACCAACCTAAAAGCTATGAAACAGTAGTGTATGTTTAAGATGTTACTTACTAGTCCTATTGTACTTTGGAGAGGTTGTCTGACAGGAGGATCCCTTCAACTCAGCAGAATTCTCAGCAGACCATCAGCGTACACCAATCTAGGAATAAAATAAGCAATTAGTTAAAAACCAAAAATATATATATTTTATATTTCCAGGTTTATAGGAAAGAAGAAAGCTAAAGCAGATTTAAAATGTAGGAAAAAAATAAAACCTGTTGACAATTTAATGGCACAACATACCCCAAACTAAGCACGCTCAAATGGTTAATTTACATAAATGACAACTGCTGCTCATTATACCAATATTAACTGTTAAGGATTCATTCATTCATTTTCTTTTGGGCGTAGTCCCTTTAATAATCTGGGGTCGTCACAGCGGAATGAAAGGCCAACTTATCCAGCATATGTTTTACGCAGCGGATGCCTTTCCAGCTGCAACCAATACACACTCATTCACACACACTTATACACTATGGTCAATTTTAGCATACCCAATTCACCTATGTCTTTGGACTTGGGAAAACAGGAGCACCCGGAGGAAACCCACGCCAACACGGGGAGAGCATGCAAACTTCACACAGAAACGCCAACTGACCCAGCCGAGGCTCGAAGCAGCGACCTTCTTGCTGTGAGGCAAACGTGCTACCCTCTGCGCCACCGTGCTGTCCTGTTAAGGAATCAGATTAATATAAATGAATTGACATGTTTATTTAGTGTCTGACACATTAAATATTGCATTTTTAAATATTGTTTCATTTTAAGATTTATTTCAGAATTAACTATAGAACCTGGATATATCGTCACATTTTCATGCACAGCAGCATTTCCAAGAACATAGAAAAACAGAATATAGGCCAAATGAAAAAAAAAATTAATTAAAAAAACTCTGACTGTAACTGGCTAGGAATGGGCAGGTATAAGATTCTGAGGGTATAATCTTGGATAAAAATACCATAGGTTCACAGTATTGTGATTACTGCTCTGAAATGTGTTTTTTTTTTATCTCTGTGTAAAAAACAGCTACTTTTTCCCCATTGAACACAATATGTTTTGTTTTAAGAAACATTTAAAATATTTTGTAACAGTAAACATGCCAGGCTAAATAATAATTTAATAAAATAGTACTATCTTCATTAGACTCAAAAACACTGATTTCTTGTGAAGGCATAATAAGCTATTTGTTTTTCAGATTTTTGCTTAATCGTGAGCTGACCAGTAGCTTTTGATGTGGAGGGTCTTTTGCTGCTGTAGATAAAGTTGGACTATTTTTTTAAGCCTTTGATAACGCGCTAAAAACCATATACAATGCATCCGGAAAGTATTGATAGCGCTTCACTTTTTCCACATTTTTAATGGTTCAGTCTTATTTCAAAATGGATTAAATTCATTAATTTCCTCAAAATTCTACACACAATCGCCATAATGGTTGTTGACCCGATTTTAGTTTATCATTTACAAGTCAATATTGCCTATATGGATTGTGATTTAAAAAAAAATAACATATAAAATTGCAGTGTTAAATGCAATGCCATCAAACATTTTAGATGCACCAGTGCAAAAAGCTAGTCTAGAGCACTTGGAATGCTGGTGTAGTTCTAGTTAAATTCAGTTCAGTTAAAGCTGTATATGCAGCCGGTCTCAAGTATAGGATTTAGTATTCAACTAATCTTAACAACTAAACATTTACGAGTCTGTATTTTCCAGCTCATGTACTACAATGTAACAGATACTGTATATTGCCACCTTGATACTTAAGCTTTCTTTAAAATATTTTGTGTTCAACCGATTAATTAATTCTTTCATTTAATTTTTTCAGTGCAATAGTATAGCTTACACTGGTGTATTTGTATGGACCCCCCAAAATAGCGGAGGCCACTTTCTGGCCACCCAAGTATAAACTTCTAGCCTAGCCACTGTGAACTACCTGTCTGTCCTGCTCCAGAACTCTTTGTCGGCTGCTTGTATGTCTGCATACAGCTGCACAAGTCTTTTAACACTGACAAATACAGCCTCTGCACATCCTCACAACCAGGAGAACAGAATGATCAGGAGGACCTGAAAAATATAACCAACTGAAATCAGTTGAAATGTATTTTGTCTTGTGATGATGGCACAAAAATATATCTTATTTTCACAAAGGATGTGCTGTTACCTATGAAACGGTCTATAATGAATGATCTTTTGATCCTGTTTCCTTGATGTCATTCACTCAGAGATGGTTTGGACATTTGATTGTATCTAAACTGTACTGAATTTAAGTTACAAAAACATTGATAGCAGGACCATTGATCTTGTAACTTATACAAATTGTTAATTATTGAACAAGTCTGCAACCAAACTAGTCAAGTTAATAATACTAATCTCAACCTAACTATGATTAGTTGTCTTGTTTCTGCTGCCCAGACAGTCTCTCCACCTGCTGATAAAAAAAGGAAAAAGTATGGTATTTTTACAACAATGAAACTGCAAACAACTTAACTATAAGGGGGTAAGCAGTGAGCATCTTTTATTATAAGCAATTTACTGAATACTTTGTCACTGGAATTACCTAAAAACCAAACGTCCCAAGTTTGGCTCATAGCTGTCCACATATCTGCCCAGAAGCTTGTGGTAATACTGAAGACACTGATCAGCTGGTCCAACTGAGTTTGGAGTTGAACTGCAATCAGGCATCCAACACTGCAAAAAAAGAGAAACTCACTTTGGGTTAACAAATAATTGAATCCCATCCACACATTTCAAGTAATTGTGCAGTTAATTCTCTTATTGAATTTTCTGAGAGCGTATGAATATATTTTGTCTTCCCAAAATAGCATGTACTGAAACACAACATTATATAAATATAATTTAATAAGAGCGTGACGTGGTGGCACAATAGGTAGTGCTGTCGCCTTACAGCAAGGATGCTGACTCGAGGCTCGGCTGGATCAGCTGGCATTTCTGTGTGGAGTTTGCAAATTCTCCCTGCGTTTGCGTGGGTTTTCTCTGGGTGCTCCGGTTTTGCCTACAAGTCCAAAGACATGGTGTACAGGTGAATTGGGTAGACTAAATTGTCTGTAGTGTATAAGTGAGAATAAGCGTATATGGTTGTTTCCCAGTGATGGCTTGCAGCTGGAAGGGCATCCACTGCGTAAAACATATGCTGGATAAGTTGACAGTTCATTCCGCTGTGGTTACCCCAGATTAAAAAAGGGACTACGCAGAAAAGAAAATGAATGAATGAATGAATGAATGAATTTAATAAGAGTTAAACTGATTTGTTAACATGTCTGTCAGGAGCTGATCTACGTTTTAATTAATTTTTTGCTTAATTTTTTTTTAACAGGTAAATCAATACACTTTTTCTATGCTATTTGTGAGATTGTGTATGTTGTCAAACTGATGAAAATGTTTTCTCAATTTACTTTAACATTTTTGTGTTTGTTTGTTTTTATAACTTGCAGCCGTTGTTAAATTTAAAAGTATTTTAAACATGGATGGACATCTAAATGCATAAAGGGCACATATCTCAACAAATTATGAAATATTTCCAGATAAATCAATTTTGAATTAAAATGTATATTAATCTCCAGACTTGCATCTCCCTGATCTTTTTTAAAGAACGGCCATTCGTTTGCTCATCACTGTTTGACAAGTGTCTGGCAGTCAGTCAAAAATATACTTACATATAAAGATGTTCATCAGCAACACGGCACTTAGGTTAAACTTAGACCTCCTTTTCAGTTGATGTGGAAAACAAAAGCAAAGAAAGAAAAAACAAAACGACTGAATACAAGTTGCATATCATGCCTGTACAAATCAAAATGTATTCATTTAGGGCTTAAATTGACTTGTTTGAGGATGAGTTAGGGTGTAAGGGATGGGTGAACGGTGTAAATATACATGTAATTCATAGCTATGATGTAAAGCTGAATTTTCAGCATCATTACTCAAGTCTTCAGTGTCAGTTGATCTTTCAGAAATCTTTTTTTAAGATGTTGATTTAGTGCTTGAGGTTGAACTAATATAATGGTGATTATCAAATGGTGCTGATTTGCTGCTCAAGAAAAATTTCTGATTGCTATCAATGCTAAAAACAGATGTGATGACAAATAATTTAGTGTAAACTTTTTTCTAAGATTTAATAAATCAATTAATCATAAAAAAATTAAACAAAATGAAAATCACAAATATTACTTCATTAGCAGCAAATCTGCATATTTATTAAGTTCTGAAGAATCATGTGATGTGAAATTTAATACCACGTTTCAATATCAAAACTTTCTTAAAATAACTGCAATAAAGACAAGTAACAGATGCATAATATATAGACATGTAGCGTGTGCATAATGATGTGCAATGGAAATTCATATGAATTAATCCTCTGCTTAAAGTTACCTGTCTTTCCTGCATCTCTGTGATCAGCTCCCTGCAGAAATTTAGGAATCTTGTGTTATATTTTCTGTAGCAGGGGGTTATTCTCTCACTCCTGAAACCACAGAACACTTTTTTTACTTAACATTTGTTTAAGATACCATGAAATATCAAAACACGATTGAACTTTTGATTCACGGTCCTTTACAGTACAATGCGTATTTTACACTACATATGGAGTGCATTCAATAAAACATTGACAAAACCTCTCATCTACACATAAAGAATAAATAAAAGCCAAAACAAGTTTAACAATAGCTAACATTAAGTAAGTTAACGTAATATTACCCCGACGCTAACGTTACCAGTGCTAATATGCTAACGGACTTTTACGAAGACTTACCACGCTTATATAACATATTATTCAACTGAATATTCATCATTTGCCAATAATAAAAGTGTGAGGAACAGTTTTATGTAGTATTTGCTTTGTTTTAGGGACTAAACTTACCTGAAAATAGTCAAAACGGCAGCTTGAGAGAAGTCGTGTTGTGTCTTTCAGGTGTGGTGTCGTGTCGTGTTGTAGCTTCGTTTCCCATAGCAACATCCTCTCCGCTCCAGTGTTGGAATGAGACGCGCGCGCGCACATCAAAGTCATGCAGTATTACATTTATAAACATGACAACTCCATAGACAATTTAAATAATAACCTTGTATTTTATATCTTGAATTTAAAATGTATTTAGCAGTTTTATATACGCTATTATCTTTAAGACGAGCTTTATTGCCTACTAACTGTTACAAAACAAACACTTTATTTGTGCAACAGATTCACTGTCAAAATAACCAATAAATATAAATGCAAGTATATATAAAACAAAGATGTCACTCTGTAAAAAGGGGTTTATTTTAATTAAACAGCCGAAATGCAGAACATACTTGATTTTTACACTGGGAAAAATTTAATAGAAAAAGCCACGATGAAAAAAGCAAACAGCAAAAACCAGAAAAAAACAACGTTTTCTTTATTAAAGCATAACAATAAAGCTTTTATATTTTAATGAATTGAAATCATGTATTGTAGGCATTTTGGTCAGTTTTACTGCATTAATGTAGGCTATATTCAAAGCTGGACCGACCGACGCAGTAGACATGATGCATGGCGCGTTTGTCTAATTAATTATGCACGCAAAAACTTACTTGTAAACAAATATGTTGCCGGATTCTTTCATGGGCATGAGAGATAAAGTGCTTATATAAGTGCTTCGTCGGCCCCTGGTCGTTAACCGATGCAGAGCCGACGTTTGTTGAGCTGGAACAATAGAACACACGACCGAACGATCATGCGTATGTTTGGCCGACCATATACCGATGTTAGAATTAGAGGGGCCGACGTGTTGACCTTCGGCCGACGTCGGCCCAACGTATGTGTGCTGTCTGGGCAGCAGACACAAGTCAAAATAGGCAGTGAACAAGAGAGGACAGATCAGAGCTTGACACAACAGCACTACACAGGAAATGACTATAACTAACAAGTTATTGAAGTTTCAGACATTTATTGTAATTTCATTACATATAAAATCTCCAGAGTAATTATGTAGCCTACTTTATTTTAATGTTTTAATAATATATCATATACCAAAATTACATACAATTAAATAAATTTAGAGATACAGTGAAAACAGGTTTTAGTTAACAGAAGTCAGAGTTAGTCTCCGAATACTTACTTAAATTATGAGAAGAGAAAGAACAGGCCCTGTAGTTGTGGCGTTGCTCACTGTAAATGGAATGTTAAACTTAGTGTCATTTCAATAACAGCTGTACAAAATAATAAAGTAATTTTTCATAAGCATGATCTATTTTCCACATTATGGACATGCTGTTTTAGGTAACATAACTACATTTAACAGTAAATAGAGTAGTATACTTCTTACCTCATCCAATTCTTCTTTCCATAGATAAGGAATTACAGCTACACTGATATGAGGTGAATTCAACAGCTGAAAACATTTTGAAAGACAAGTTACACGAGTAATTTGAAAACAACAGTGAGTGATTAAACAATAGAGTTTTATGCAACTTACGCATAATTAAAATCCAGAAATTATCAATAGAAGATTACCTCCATGTAAAAATAGCCTGTTGAGTAAAGAAAAGAGTGGGTTTTAGATAAAACATCAAAAGACCAATCAAAATAGAAATTTAGACTAGCAGACCTTTTAATTACTATCTATATTAATTAGGCATATGAACATTAATTTATATACTTTAACTTATAGGGATAGCTCACCCAAAACTGACAATTCTGCCATTTTAGCCTCATCCTTTATTTGTTGCAAACTTATTTAGCTTTTTTCTGCTAAACAATAAAGAAGATATATTAAATAAAGCTGGAAAACTGTAACTATTTAATTCCATAGTCTTTTCCTACTATGAAAGCAAATGCTTACAGTCTTTAGTGTTCAACAGAATAAAGAAACTTAAAGGTTTGGAATCACTTATTATTTACAGGGCAAATAATTCGTGAGTACATATCATTTTTGAGTGAACTGTTCCTTTAACGGGACGCAATCTGCACAGAGATGTTTTGTTTTTAAAAGTTATTTTGTGTGTTTTGTAAAAAGTGGGTCGGCTCGTGTGATGAAGTAACTGATCGCGATGGATATGGAGAAAACTGAACTTCAAAAACATTATTGTCCATTTGACTAAAGACAAGGCGTAGGTAAATAATCAGGAAATGTTTTATCGAGAGATTTAACATAATGTTGTCGAAATCGTAGGTTTGTTTGAATATTCACGATTTACGTATCTTATTTAGCAAGAAGAAATAAAGCAATACTCACGTCTCCTCGGTCGTTGATGAATGAGACGACGGCTTGTTGAAATTTAAACTGATTCAGCTGTGACCAGTAAATGTTGTACAGTGGTCGTCCACGCCACCTAAGCACAACCTAAAGCATGCGACCCTCATGATGTTTAAATGGCAACCTTATGACATCGTTGTGACAACCTTTAGCAACAACGTAGAATCCTCAACCTTTTTACAATGTTGGTACAACGTTGTAGGAAGGTCGCTACGTTGAGGCAACGTTGTGTGTTTGTTGGGTAGCCACAGGGGGTTCGGGAAGCCTAACGTATATTAATCATATTGCTCTTTAATAAATTTTCCATCATATGTTGTAAAATCTGTCTATAACGATTTAGATTTTTTACTTTATTACCTATTTTCAAAATCAGGGGCCCATATTAATAGTCGTACATTTGTGAGCTTGTTAAGAAAGGGCCTTTTCAAATAAAATAATATTTCCCATTGAACAGTGATGATTGTTTCTATACAGTGAGAAAAAGGGCAGTGTTTTTTGCTGTCGCATCTTTGGTAACTAATATGTTCAGACAATCTGTAGCCTAAAGTTTATTTACAACAACAACAACAACAATAATAATAATAATAGCATCATCATAATCATAATAATAATTAATCTACAGAGGAATGTTTTGAGTTTTAATGGAGACCAATAGCCTACATGGACCATGGCCTACATGGTCCAGAATTTGTCCCATACATGAGCTCATTTGTCCTATTTTTACTGCTATATAATAATGAATTGTGAAAATAATCTTCGAAGAAGGCTTTAAGGCCAAGTAAAATTCTCTTTTGGCTGTTGCTTCAGCATGACTGAGGAAAGTTGAGAGTGCTAGTTTGCGTTTGACTATAACAAATGACACTAGGCTGGTTTTTAATTTAAAACTTGAACAGCATACTTTTTTTCTAATGATAGTCCTATATGATGTAAAAAAAAATTGAAAAATAAGTATTATTCTCATGTTTTTTTTCTACTAAATCTTTAGTAAATGTTTTTGGTATATCAAAAAAGTGTGTTGCATTATGACCAATCGACTATAGCTAATCCGGCAAAAAATAGTGCTAAAAAAGTATTTAATATTACAAATAAATAGAAAATGAGGCTAATAACTGCAAAAGGTTCATATTTTAAGAAAAAAGAACCTTCTATTTCCTGGCCTGGATTTAGTAAAACTGTCTCTGTATTCATTAGTTCCCTGCTTTACTCAATTTCCCATCGCTGCATATTTTAGGTTGTTTAACTTTACCAATTTTCATAATTGATTATGTTACTTTTTATTACTGTGAAGCTGCTTTGAAACATTTAAAGAAAAACTGAAAGTACTTTAAGGGGAGCACAGACACAAATCATGTTCTTAATTATTATAATGATCAGATAAACTTAATTGAACATATTGTGTACATAGATAGCACCTTTTTTGAAAAGGTAAACCACATTATATTGTAACAGCAGATTCACTTAACATCCACCTTTAGTAAAGCTGCTTTGGAATAATAATTATTGTGAAACAGCACTATACAAAGAAACTTGAATTAAATTACTGTAAAATAACCATGTCAACTTTTTTTTACGTTGTTACTGCTGATTATATATAATTACATAATTAAAATATAATTATTATCATTATTAATTACATTTTATATATTATCAATAATAAAATTCATGATATGCACTAATCACTGTTCATGAAAAATTAATTTTCAGATGTTTTTATCCAAAACACAAGCACCCATTCCCTACCACAACCCCTCTGTGTCTCATCCACTCATCCACTTTGAACTGTGGCACACCAGTGATAATTAAAAACCATGATGGGTAATTATATATCTGTAATTGCTATACAGATGATATCATCCTCTCTCTCACATTAATATGCAAAGCTTTGTTTGTATCAGATAATTACCACTGGGATATCTCAATTAATTTGATTGGTAAACAATCAACCCCTCTAGTCAGTTGTCAGGCAGGTTTCTCTTCTCCTTTACCAATGTAAATATAGCAATAATTACCTTGCAATATAACTTTAATTTATGACTGACAATGGTGGGACAGTTGACACTACCCATCTTTCAAATCACCACTATACTTTTTGTTTTTAAATGAGCCAATAAATATTGTATTGCAATAATTCAATCTGGGAAAATGCGTTAATAATAAAAATGTGATGATTCAAATAAATGGACATGCAGATATGCACACAGACTTTTAATTTCAGCCAGCCAGCCAGCCTCAGAGCTTCTGATAAATCTGCCTCGTATAAAGTCTGATTTCTTTAAAAATCAGTATTCTTCACTGCCTGATAGATATACGATATGAAGTGGGTCTCAGACAAGAAGCACTGCATTAAATTTCATTTTCCCTGCCATGTCTTTAAAATATGACATTTTATTTTACCCCAGTGTTTTCAATGGAGTGTCTGAGTTTGCCTGCTGATGCTGACGGCACTAGAGGTTACACATTCTTTCATCTCATTTTATGCTTGATCAACTAAATGAATGCTTAAGCCTATTTAACTGATTGTATTTTAATTACGTTACAACATTGATGCTGTAAAAGGAACATTATGTAATTGAAAATACTCACATTAAGGATTCACCGGAAGTTTATCATTGTCTGAAAAACTCTAGCTGTGAATACCCCATTGTAAATGAATACATCTGTGAATACATCATTGTAAATATACTGATAATTATTATAGTATACTGTTTTATCCTAAAACATTTATTGTTAAATACAGTTCTATTATTATGTTTTATTGATGAATGATATGATATTAAATAATATATGATATGTTATTTATATTTTTATTATTATAAATTTTTATTATACAGTATAGTAGCCTATGTATGTTCTTTTTTTAAATGTACATTTTATAAATGCTTTGGCAATACATTTGTAACATTTGTCATGCCAATAAAGCAATTATTAAATCGACTTGAAATGAGAGAGAGAGAGAGAGAGACTTGAAATGAGAGAGAGAGAGAGGGAGAGAGAGAGAGAGGGAGAGAGAAGCTTATTATCGCCCTCTTTTGGTCATACATTCACCCTGTAGAAGCGGGTAACGGATAAACAGCAGCGCATCCAGCAATAGGCTTCCAGATGGACAGCGCTGAGGGAAAAGACACACTCGAACTCTCTGAGGAAGCAAGAGTTATTACCACATTCCGATAAAATGAAGGTTACGTTCACGGGTCTGGCCGGTTTTGTGGCCGTCTTCGGGGTCCTCAGCTTTATTGGACTCGTTCTGGCAATTGGAACTGATTTTTGGTACATCATTGACACTTCTAAGAGGGAAAACAGCTCGTCTGTATCCCTCAGCTCCCATTCTGGACTCTGGAGGACTTGTAACTGTAAGTCACTTTTTGTGTTTGATGTTCTGCTTGATTTCTCTTGCGTGGGTTTTTCATGTGGATGGATGAAGTTTTTCTCTCTTGCAGTTCATAACCAGTGCTGGCCATTTATGAATCCTTTTGGAGCAGGAAGAAACTTGTCAGATTCACAAAGACAGATACTAAGTAAGATCTGTGTGCTATTTCATCCAAGTGGCGTCATTTTGTATCTCATGATTATTTATTTGGAGTTCAGATGCAAAAAAACTTCCTGAAAACCATGGGAGGTTTTCTTCTAAAATTTGTCCAGTAATTTACAATTTGTTGGCAGATTATTTGCATTGCCTTTAAAATGAAATAGCTGACCATAAACATAGGAGGCTAAGAAAATTGCTCATTAGAAGAAAATTTTAGATGGCACTGCAGAGTTTTTTTTTTTTTTTTTTTTTGCATCTGAACTCTTTATTTGTTAAATATAAGCTTAAATCATTCACCCAGATCCAGATGTTTCCAGATGTTTCATGCAATACATGATAATAACACAAAAGCTGTCTGTTTAGTTTGTTTTATATTGCTACAGGTTACTAATATATACTGCATGGCCAAAAAGTCGGTGTTTTGGTATGGTGGATATTTATTGCAGGCTTGTTTTATGCTTGCCAACAATTCTTTAACCCTAATAGATGCAGTAAATAATTAAAATAAAAAATAAGAAGACATGTGACAGTATTCCGAAATGACTGCAAATATTCATAATCAGTCAGCCTGAATCGCACTGAACTTCATTTCTTAAAGATAAGCTTCACTCAGATCTAGATGTTTCCAGATGTTTCACGTGTTACTTGATGATAACATCAATGCTCTCTGTTTAGTTTGTTTTATATTGCTACAGGTTACTAATATATACTGCATGACCAAAAAAATGTGTGTTTGGTCGGATCTTTATTGCAGTGATTGATATGTTTCTGGCTTGTTTTATGTTTGGGTTGTTTTGAAACAGTTGTTTTAACCCTAATAGATGCTGTAATTAGTTGAAATAAAATAATTGTTTTAGAGTTGGCGCCAGTGGTGTAGTGGTTAGTGCGTCGACACATGCACTCCAGTGCTCGCGGATTGATTCAATCACAATGCTCAAAATGTAAAAGAAGCTTCATTTTCAGATGAACTGCCATCAGGCACTCTGAACCGCACTGAAGTCTTGAAAGGAAGTGCTGGAGTAACAGTGACACCTCAGGCTCAGATATTGGTGGATCAGTAAATGTAAGATTGAATCCAAATATTTATGCAATTCTTGATGAATATACATGTTACACTGTAATTAAAACAATGCAGTGATGCACATATCATATTTAAAGCTGATGATGATCCCTAAGTTGTAAGATGTTTAACATGCCAGAAACATGTTAACTGCACCAACTGCTCATAGTTTAAGTATTTGCTTTGCTATTTCCAAATACTACTGCAACTTTATCTATAGTATACTATTAGACTGTGGTTGACAAAGTACACAAACCAAGTACTTGAACATAAGTAGAGAGATATACTAGGTAAATAAAATATTACTCCAGTAGTAAAAGTGCTCAAAAAGTGCCATTACACTATCACTTAAGTAAAAGTATAAATGTTTTTGCCTTCAAATGTACTTAAGTATTCAGTACACTATGATTTATTATTGCTATAATGCAAGTTAACATTTTAAAATAATGGTCTGTTAGTTAATGTAGGTAATGTATTTAACATGAGCTATAGTAGTGAATAATAGCTGAACAGCATTTATTAATCATAGTTCAGCATTTACTGATGCATTAATAAGGTCTAAAGTACTTTTTGGTGCTAGTTAATGCATTTATATGAACTAACAATGAACAGCTTTATTTTCATTAACCAACACTAACAAAGATGATTACACCCTGTAAAATGTATTGTTCATTGTTTGTTTAAGTTAGTAAACACATTAACAAACTTTAGAGGTGCAGTAAGTGATTGTCTTCAGAAACATGTTTTGTTGTGCTGGTTGAAAGTCTCTTCACATTCCAATAGTAATGATTAAAATATATAATGTAGATGTATTTTTATTATATGTATTTTTATATTCTGGGTAGTGCATAAGACTAATAATCTTCATCCAAATAAATATTGTTGTGCTAACATTTCCCATAATTCTGATTATAGCCCTAACTGTCTTTCAGCAAATGTAGATTTGAACAACTGCTCACCCGTTTCACGCAGATCTGCCGATGTGTAATTCATGCAGTCCATGGTCATGTGGACATGAGTGACATTGGTAAAAACAAATGCTGCATCAAAACGTTTTAAAATGCTGAATTAATATTGGAGTTACTTTTGCACGCTGGAGGAAGGATAACACCATGACTGAAGTATTTTTTAGACAGGTAATGTTATGTTTTAAAACTATTTTAGTCTCGCAAAGCTAACGTAGATTGTATTGTGTTCAGAATGGGTTATATGCACAGAAGTGTTGTTCAGAAGTGTGAAATCTTTTGGCGAAAGATTGATCTGACTATTTTCAGCTTTATAAGGTTATTTTTACAGCATAGCTGAAGTAGATTTTTATTTAGTTTAACAACAAAACATTAGCAAATAGCAATATTATGCCTAGTCGTTACTGAGGTGAAGTTAGTTTTATATTCACATTGATTCATTTTTAAACAATAAAATCCTGTAATGCGGCCCCTATATTGTTTACCATGCTACTTTGAATATTCGATCTGAAATAGCATGTAAGCATGGCTTAGTAATAAGTGTAATTCCTGGAGCCCGCTGACCAACCGCTAAGCATACAGTATAGTCGATTTAAGACAAAGCGTGTGAGAGAGTGAGACAGATGAGAGAGTGATGACAAGTTTTACTTTCTTACATAACTGAAAACGTGCTAGATACAGTTTTTGTTGGGTACAGTAGTATTATAAAGTACTAAAAAGTTTTCTAATTGGCGAATGACATGATCTAGTGGGTCTTTGTCATTTTTAATGTTTGCGTTCGCAAGGAGGCGTGGCTTTGGATGCTGACTGGTTCGCATTTAGGCAGATCACCTACTGCACCTTTAACTAATGGACCATTATTTGAAAGTGGTGTTATATTAACACCACCTTACACAAAGCCTATTAAACATCAGTCTAATTTTAATATTTAAAGCATATATATATATATATATATATATATATATATATATATATATATGTATATGTATAGATCTTTTTGTTTTGATAGAACTAATATATTTAATGCAAAATTCCAATTTGCAGTTTCTAATTTCTTATTGGTCATACGAAATACCTTCATTAAAGCAAGACCATTAGATGTATCTCAACTATTACCTATAATTATAACTATATATGTATTATATACATATAGTTATATATTATGACTGAGAGTGGTGGGAAAGTGGACACTACTTATCTTTTTAATCAACCTTCCTTATATTTTGTTTCAAAATGAGCTAATAAATATTTGATTGCAGTTATTTAGTCTGGAAAAATGCATTAATAATTTAAAATATGATGATTGTAGCATGCAGATTGCATCTTAACCATAAAAAGCCTCATCAATTCCGTGCATCCTAATTTATACAGTATGATGCAATTCCACAAATTTGTAGGTATGTGTTTCATATTTGTAATAGGAAGCACTGTCATTTAAGCAGGACCATTAAATGCATCCGAGTAAAAACCAGAAAAAAACACTGAAAAAATAAAAAAACTGAAAAAACACTGGCTTTCTTTTAAGTCTGGCAGAGTTGAGAAACTTGACACATTAATAGGAAGCCAGACATACACAGCTTATTACCAGTAACAGATGCCATATCACTGTTTCACAGTCTAAAGCCTTATAATTACACATCTGTTTAAGGTATTGTGACAATGTGAGAACTAATGCAGTGGCCAAAATTATAAATAATGCCATTTGTTCACTTTTGAAGTTCATAAAGTGATTTGTAATATAGATATAATATATTATATGTATTCACACTCCATAGTTAGAGGCACATAAATATATGAATTTGTTTTTAAAGGAATATATTTTGCCCCCCCCAAAAATAGAAATTCTGTCATCAGTTTAAACCCAAAAGAAGATTTTTTGAAAAATGTTAAAAAACAGCTGTTATTGACTTCCATTGTATTTCCAAGTCCCACATAAACAGCAATCAGTAATAGTTTCTGACATTGTTTGAAATATTAAAGCCAGCTTTATTGTCAATTCTGCCACATGTACAGACTCTGGAACATAAAGCCTGTATACTTATAAAAACACTATAAGATGAATGTAAATATACAATACATACAGATAAGGGCACATAGCAGGTACAGTTGACGTCAGAATTATTAGCCCCCCCTAAATTATTAGCTTTTATTATTTCTGTTTAACAGAGAGAAAAAAAATTTCAACACATTTCTAAACATAATAGTTTTAATAACTCATTTCTAATAACTGCTTGTTTTACCTTGGCCATGATGACAGTAAATAATATTTGACTTGATATTTTTCAAGACACTTTTATACAACTTAAAGTGACATTTAAGGCTTAACTAGGTTAATTAGTTTTACTAGGCAGGTTAGGGTAATTAGGGAAGTTATTATAACAATGGTTTATTCTATAGACTATCAAAATATGTAGCTTAAAGGGGCTAATAATTGTGACCTTAAAATTATAAAAAAAAAATTAAATACTGCTTTTATTCTAGCCAAAATTAAACAAAATATTATCAGACATACTGTTGAAATTTTCTTGCTCTGTTAAACATCATTTGGTATTTTTACAGTATATGATAATAATAATAATAATAATAATAATAATAATAATAATAATAATAATAATAATAATAATATGAGGTCATTGCTGTGGTGGTGTGTAGCAGTTTTGTCAAACTCTGTCCTGGAGCGCTGGTGTCCTCCTGAGTTTAGCTCCAACCTTAATTATTTAATGTATAATATATATTAAGATAATAATATAATAAACAACTGCCTAAAGGTTTTAAGCTATCTTGAAAACACTGCATTCGAAATCGCATGCTTTCATACTATATAGTACGTTTAAAACAGCATGCAGTTGAGTTGTATGCTAAATTCATAGTAATCAAAAACAGTACGTGAGAATTACCTGGATGACCTACTTCCGGTGGGAATATGAAGTGGCCATCCAATAGACACTACACTATCCCATATGA